AATTGAAGTCACACTCTCTTGCTGGCGCCCCAGTCCCTTGTGCATCCTTTAGTTTGAGCACGTAGAGCAGGACCTTGGATATCTAAGACAACAAGTGGGACAACGGTCATAAAATGTGGCTTGAAATGAAGCTCAGAAGAGCAAAAGAGGGACTGGAGAGGTGGCTTAGTGGTTAAGAGCACTGGCTGCTCTTCCAGGGGATCAGGGTTCAATTCCCAACACCCACATGGCAGCTCACAACTCCAGTTCCAGGGGACCTGACACCTTTACATAGACATATATGCAGGCAAAACACCAATGCACAGAAAATTAAAAATAAATAAGATTTTAAAAAAAAAAGAGCAAAAGAACATGGGCTCTGGAGTCTGATTGCTCCTTCTTTGCTTTGTTCTGCATTTTGAGACAGGGTCTTGTTATACAGTCTCGGTTGACTTGAACTCGTGCAGTTCAGGCTGGCCTCAAACTTGTAGCAGTTTCCTGCCTCAGCCTCCCAAGTACCAGGATTGTAGGTTTGTTCCATCTTACCCAGCACAATGCTTTGACTACTACTTAATTTACTCAACCTACTACTTATGACTCTAGACAAAAAAAAAAAAAAGTTTACATCTTCGTGCTTGTTATCACATTTGTTGAGTGATACTGATACATTCATTGTAGAGAATCGTTTAGAGATGAGCAGTCGTGGTAATGCCTAGCATATACTGTGTATTCACTGATTGGTGGCTAATACTTCCCCCCCCACACACACACAATATAGGTCTGCTCCATCGGACTCTTGAGGGAAGAGAGGAGTCTAACTCCTGAAGAAGCAGTATCGAAACTGAAGAAGACAGAAGAGCTTCTGATCAAACAGGGATTTCTGGAACAGAGGATTCAACAGGAGTGATAAACAGCCAGAGAGCATGAGACCAAGAATGAGCAAAGTAATGAAGAAGAAGCACGCTGGGGATGGTCCAGGGGGAAGCGGGTACTTCTGACTCTGGTGTTCAGGGTGTGGGCTGCATCGGCCACCCTGCAGGCTTTGTGGAGAAAGAAAAGGTTAGAACAGAAGCTGGCACAAACTGATGGGAGGTTGTCCACTCTGGACGTTCAGCCAGAGGCCATTGAGAATGCCACCACCAATGCAGAAGGGGACCTGGGCACTAGGAGCGTGGCTTGTGTCGATACTTTGAATTTATTTTTAAGAGTACATACTGCCGGGCGGTGGCGGCTCATGCCTTTAATCCCAGTATTTGGGAGGCAGAGGCAGGCAGGTCTCTGTGAGTTCAAGACCAGCCTGGTTTACAAAGTGTGTTCTAGGACAGGCACCAAAACTACACAGAGAAACCCTGTCTCAAAAAAACAAAACAAGATTACATACATATTCATTGTGTGTGTGTGGGGGGGGGTATGTCCACATGAGTGCAGGTGCTCACATAGACCAAAAGAGGCTATTAGATCCCCTGGCGCTGGAGTGACAGGTGGTCTCGACTTGTCAGATGCGGGTGTTGGGAACCAATGGGTTCTTTGCAAGACTTTCTTTTCTTTTTGTTTTTGCTTTTGTTTTGTTTGAGTGCTGTGTGTGTGTGGGGGGGGGTTGTTTTGTTTTTTTCTTGAGACAGGGACTATGTAGCCCTGACTGTCATAGAACTTTCTATGTAGACCAGTCCAACCTCAAACTGACAGAGATCTGCCTGCCTCTTTGTCTTCTGAGGTGTTTTGTGTTTTTTTTTAAAGATTTATTTATTTATTATATACAGTCCTCTGTCTGCATATGTGCCTGCAGGCCAGAAGAGGGTACCAGATCTCATTACAGATGGCTGTGAACCACCATGTGGTTGCTGGGAATCAAACTCAGGACCTCTGGAAGAGCAGCCAGTGCTATTAACTGCTGAGCCTTCTCTCCAGCTCAGTTTTTGTTTTTGTTTTTTAAGATTTCTTTTTATTTATGTGTATATGTGCATGTCTATGTGTGTTTATGCAGTGTGTGTGCGGGTGTCCACAGAAACCAGAGGAAGGTGTTGGATCCTCTGGAGCCGGAGTTAACAGGCAGCTGTGAGCTGCCTCATGTGGGTCCTGGGAACCAAACTTACATCCTTTTCACTGCGTCTTCTCTCCAGCCCTTACTTGGGATTTCTAAAGCTTCTCCAATAGAATAATATATCTGATGGTTAGACTACCTCGTTACTTTCTTCATGAAAGATCCTCTTGCTGGCCAGGGCATTCTAGGTGAGAACAATCCATTCATTTTTAAAGCTTTAGGGAAGGAGCGTGAAATCCAGTGTGAGACCATAGGATGGAAAGGCTTCATTTGTGTGAGATGAGAAAGCCAATGATGGTTGGGGGATGGCGGGGGTGGGGGGGGTGTTGGAGCTGGAGGGAGGGTGCCCCCTGATTCCTTGGCAGTGTATCTTGTTCTTCATGACATTGACAAGGTAGAGGAACTGCTGGGTGACATGGAAGGACAACAGGAGCTGGCCCAGCACGTATCAGATGCCACTCCTTGCCCTATGGGTTCTGGAGATGGTGTGGATAAGGAGACTGGGTGAGGAGGTCAGAGAATATTGGAAAAAGTCATGGACCGCTCAGAAGGGAACACAAGAGAGACTCTTGGAACAACCTTGGGGGGGAATTTCCAAAGCGTGCTCTTCGGGGACTGGTTGTTTTCTTTGTCTTGGCCAGTCCTGTCATCCTGTGTCCAGGATGAACCGCTGCAAGATCTAGAGGAGCTGGAGCAAGAGGAATTAACTCAGGAGTGTGAAGCGTGGACAGCAAGGAGGAAGAACCCCTGGTCGGATTGTCGCGTGTACCTTACACAGGTCTGCCTGCAGGGCCGGTACCCAGAACACTTCGTTAAAGACTTGAGGGGGTGGGGCAGATAGTTGGGAAGGTTACTGTCTTCTTAGTACTATCTGTATTATCCTCGAGTCCCAGAGGAGCCAGGCAGAAGCTGCTGCTGCTTCGGGTATCCAGACTGCTGACTGCATTACAGCATCGGACTGAAAGGGAATGGGGACTGAAACTCGAATCCAGCCTGTGCTCCCCTCGGCACGCTGTGGATCCTCATTTCGGGATGCAAATGCACGTGCTAGTGTTTGGTTTTCCCGTCGGTGCTGGGCTGCTGTGGGAATGGGCGGCATCAAGCACAAGGAGCGCGTCTTTTGCCTTGTGTTTGCTGGAGAGGGACAATTCAGCGGCTGTAGGTGTCAGAGCAGGAGCTGGGTGGAAGTTCGACGCCTTTAATACTTCCTTCTTCCCCAAGCTTCCAGAAAGGACGAAGACAAAGAAGCACGATTGGCAGGCGGGGTGTCCTGAGAGTTTGGGGTGTCTTCCTGCTGCATCCTGGGGTGCAAAACGCTGAGCGCTACCGGAGCGTGGCTTGGGGCTCTCCTGCCGAGGTGGCAGTGTGACAGAAGGGCCCACGTTCTCCCCTCTTTGGCTGAACTTTGAAGACGGATCTTGCTGCAGAAGGAGCCCTGGGCTCCCTTCTTTTTGGTAGCGGAAGACTGATTCTTGTCTCCAGTAAAACTGGGTGGATGGATCCCTCGTGTCTGCAGGTCTGGTCTGTACTTGAGGTTCTTCCTGCTGCTTCTTAGAGCCTTGTTTTCAGCAGTGACAAGTAATGAGAGAAGAAAGGGAGCCGAGGAAATGAATGGCCGTTTCCGACATCTCCGACTGTGTTCTGCTACCTTTCCGTCACAGAGTTGCCTAGTGCCTGAGGTTAAGACATTGCCATTGGCCAGGTGGTGATGGCGCACACTTTTAATCCCAAAGCTCCGGAGGCAGAGGCAGGCAGATCTCTGTGAGTTCGAGGCCAGCCTGGTCTACAGAGTGAGATCCAGGACAGGCTCCAAAACTACACAGGGAAACCTTGTCTGGGGGGGTGGGAAGAAAGAAAGAAAGAGAGAGAGAGAGAGAGAGAGAGAGAGAGAGAGAGAGAGAGAGAGAGAGAGAAAGAAAGAAA